ATCGTCACCGTACGATACGACGTCGCATCGTCCTTCGTCGCATCGACCGTTTCTCAGCAAAAGCCAAACTATCGTTGTTGGAGCGATCCGCGTCGATGGATACGACGGAATACCAACGCGATCGACGACACGGTGGACGCGATACGGCGAAAACATCCGCCGGAAGAGAACGCGAGAAACGGGACACGTCGAAGGCGAAAATAACCAGCAAGACCGTGCAATACGGTTTCGTTTCGATGGCTATGGAAACGTATATGCGGCCGTATATGCAGCGCGTGGCAATTTGTAGTAACTCGCAGCGAAACACCTACGGGAATCGATCGTTCTCCTACGACTCTTCGTCACCTTTTCCCTTTCTCCCGAGCAAATTTCGCAACGCGATTTTCGTAACCGCGTGTGTCGTAACTTGGTCGATCGGTAGGCCCAACTGTATTCCAGGCGCGAACTTCGATCGTCGGAATTAAAGATTTCGCTCGTCCGAGATACTCGCACGTACGTAACGAGCCGAGCGAAGTTATCGCGGACGAACAACGTTACGATTTTGCGCTCGTTTAATTTGAAACAGAGCACCTATCTCTGTTTTCGCCCGGACGAATAGTCGTCCGCGCGACGAAGGATGGACGACGATCGTCGAGATACTCCGTAACGCGTTCCTAACGCCGCTTGGAAATTCTACTCGAGATCTCGCGATCTACGCGGCAGAGATACGTTATCGCCACGCGGAAGCGGGTTGCGTGTTGGCGACCACTACGATAAACGGGCAATCCTGGATCGCTAAAATTTGGATTCGTTTCACATGGAGAGGAAGACGATTCGACCGTTCGTTCGGCAAGCTCGGCCGCACAAGCGACTTTTAAAGTTCTGTCGTTGCCTCTGCTGTTTTCCAAACTTTGCTCTCTCGGCTGGATTTTGCTCGACGCGATTCCACCAACAGCTTCGATAATTTACCGAATATCGAGGTAGCGAAGTTTGTCCTCAAAGTTTGTCCTTCGATCGCGAGATCAAGAGATACGCAGCCTACTTCTAACTGTACCAGACACCGCGTCCAACGTCCAACGTTCTTCCAACGACCGCATATTACAACAGTTACGACGCGATTCGCCGATTGTCGACAAACGAGAAAAGATACGCGGGGTTCGACTTAAGAGCGCAAAGTGCGCATAAGCGCATAATCCAGCTTCTTCGAATCGGCGAAAACGCACCTTCTCGTTTTCTGCCTAAACTCTTCGTTTCGACCCGACTGTCGCGAAAAAGACGCTTCCAGAACCGTTCCGTCCGCTTCTCGCAAACGCGATACCCTGCAATTCGTCGACGGATACGAACCGTATCGCTGGAAGAGATAAAAGGAAAATATTTCGTACTCGTGGCCGATACAACGCGTTTTATCGATGAGCGTTACGGAGCTACAAGAATGCCAGGCGGTTCTAGGTGACGAAGATTTTCTCATTTCCGGCTGTCACGTCGCTTCCGTTCTAACGTATTTCACCCAATTTCCGCGTCGAATCGCCAACGAGCCAATCGCTGTGTCTAATGTCTCCCGTGGAAACCGTACTTCGAATATTACCAGATATCGTCCAGTTTTTCTCTTTCGACCTACGATCGAGCAACGTTCGACGTTTGAAATTTCCCTCTCCGAACCGCAAATTCGCTCGAACGTTTCGCCTTGATAAAGTCGTATACGCTGCACCAAGAGAAAGGAGAGAAAGACTTTCGTATCTCCGGATCGTTCCCATCCTCGACAAGGATCCGCGGCTGATCTTTCTGGTTAATTCGTTCTTGTTAATTCCCGTCTAAAGTCGTATACGTACGCTCCGCGTGCGTTCGAAGAACACGAAACCCGACGTTTTTTCCTCGCTAACTTTTTTCGCCTTAACGAATAGCCGTATACACGCCAGTGTATTTTTATACACCGGAGTAGCGACGAGAAATAACCGCCGCTGTAAAAACGTTTGCGACACACGCAGGTATCTTTCAAGAGAAATTCGATGGTATTCGATCGGCTTGCTTTCGTTCGCACGCCGTTGTACCAAGAATTTAATCGCCGCTCGACGAACGCGTGTACCTTGGATGTCCGTGACGTCTGGGACGTCTGTCTGGACTCGGAATGCTCGCGATATTTCGCGTCGAGTATCGTCGTGTGCGAAATACCTCGAGTTCGAAGGCAGATAAAAAAGTCACGCGACGTCGATCGCTTGATTTATCGATCGAGCAGACGGAAAGAACGTTCGCGAATCCGTGGTCGGTCGCCGAAGCGAGGAATTTGCGAATTCGCGAATCACGATGGACACGGCGATAACGACGAAATGCGTCTCTATCGCGCGTTGCGATACGCGACAACGTGTAATTATGTATACGTATAGGTTGCGTTGCGCAACCAACTCGTCGCGATGGGTCGCGCTACGTAAAAGAACGAGACAAGAAGAAGAGGGAGGAGAGGAAAGAAGAAAGGAGACGAGATAGACGAACGTTTGAAATTTGCATAAAAGTAATCAGGATATAGAAACGATCCGACCTTTCCTTTTCCGGCCGAAGGTATCCATCTAGCGACTGCTAAATAGCGCCTAACGAGATTAAAGAGGAGAATGAAAAGAGCGAACGGACCTATTTGAAAGCGAACTTTGTCAAACACTGGAAAAAAAAGAAAGAAGGCGAAGAGCGAAAGAGGAGAAAACGCAGGTCCGGCAATTTTCCGATGTAATAACAGGCCCTCGTTGTTCGTGCAAAACGGGTACGATAAAGCCTCGGGATATTGCCTTATTCAACGGCCGTTGAACGGCGACCGAGTATTATAGCTGGAAAGAGGCTTTGTCGCGCTTTGTTGCGCGCCGCCTCTTCTTTTTCCAAACAAAATCGTTCGAACGCGCACGGAAAAATCTGCCTACGACGCAAGACGCGAAGTTTATCGAGTCGTTGCTACGTGCAACCGCGTTCTCGCAGCACCGTGTTGTAACGTAGGCAACGAAAATAACGAGAGATTAGAATTCGACAAGGAACCGTTCGATCGAACCGCTACATCGGAACGGTACGGTCCGCGAGCGTACCTTTTTCCATGGTCCCTAGAGAACGAACGAACGAACGAACGAACGAAGAAAAGAGTAACGATGAGGTGTAGCCTGGATGATAAAAGAGAGACGAGTCCCGCAGGTCCGTACAGCTATAAAACAATCGATGAAACACATCCGGGGCATGAACACGGCCATTGCTAAAACTTTTAAAACCCACAAAGGAAACATTTAGGGCCGTCGGTTAGTGATGAACGAGCTTGCTACCTCCTTGGTCGTTCCCAACACGGTCTTCGATGCGTGCCGCCTTCCGACGTTTCTCTTCCTCTCGATCGACGATAATCGAAGAAAAGTGGTCGAAGAACGGTATTTCTAACTCAGCCGTGAGAGTCGTAACTTAAACAATAGCAGTCTGATAGTAAATCCAACGGTAACTATACGAACGAATACGTCCAATGGAAAATACGTAGGTTCAACGATCCACGAAAATTTATTTCGTCGATAAGCGTACACATACCGAGCATCGAATAATACGATGCTCGGTGAAATTGCGACCTAGTTAGGCTTTGACCCACTTGGTTACACCGTAATCATCGTCGAGTGCTCTGCACCGATTCGTATTAGAAGTAAACATGTCGCTGGAAGCGTACCTACGCGTAGCGTGTCGTACAGCAGCCTGCTCGCTTCCTCTCCTAAGCTTCCAAGTTATTTCCGTGTTTCTATAGACGAAGTAGCGAGAGTTCTTTCTTTACTCGTTCCTTACCCCCTACGATTTTATCAAAACCTATGGAAACGGTTACCAACAGCGACCAGTGCAACGCCAGATAAACTCGTTTCGCTCGATCGGCAGAAGGGGTGTTTAACACGAGCAAAGGTTTCTATAAACTGATCACGGTTATTTTTGATACCAACGATCCAGGTATCTGCACGAGAAAGAAATACGAAAGAGAACGTGCGGGGTAGACGAAACGAGCAGAGAGCAAGAGGATCAAGGCTGTTAGTCGCTGGTGGTAGTCTTATCTGTTTGCATACGTGCAACTGCTGTGCTACACGCAACCGATGCGTCTCGCATCTATAAATAAAGTTATACCCCAAAGAATAAACGAGACGTTACTACTGGTGATACGGCCGCCGAGGTTGTCGCGAGGTCACCGCGTCTCGATAATAAATTACGATCGTAAGCATGCTCATCCCCCTGCCCACGATCTAAAATTACGGCGCGCTAATAAATTCCCCGTAGAAACAAGATACCTTGCACGCCGGTATAGGCCTGAAATTTCAAATTGCTGGAGCAAGTGGCCGAACGTTTCCGAGGCATCTGTTGCGCACGTGAGTTACGATCTAGCCGTAAGGCACCGTCCACCACCACCGTCTTTCCCTCAAACCGAATATGCTTTACATTTTCACGACCCGTCACTTTTCCGCATACATTTACATTCTTATCCCTTACGCGTATATATTTATCCGGCGTCGAGATTCTCCGCCTCCGTTTCTCGCTCAATGATCGCTCGGACCGAACGCTAAAATTTCTATTTTCGACGCAAGTTTAACGTACTTTTGCTAAGAAATCGATCCACCGTACACGCATGTATATTCGATGAACGTTCTCTTTGTTTACAATGACGACAACACGCCGTTTACGCGTGACGTTCGAACAAAGCTACATTATAACTTAATTGTTTCGTGTTTAAGCGCGTTTTTATATCCGATCTTTAGCGATCGAAGCAACCAAAAATCGCGTAAAAACCTAGAGCAGACTTTAACGTACGCGATTCGTCTTTATCGAATCGTTCGCGTCGCCTCGCAATCTTTCGTTTCGATCGTTCAATCTTCAAATTTTCCAAATTCTTTCAAATCCTCGTTTCATTCGATTTCTCGGAGAAGCGTAAAAACGCGGTAAATCGACGTTACAAAAGATGCAACGGACGGACGAATATATGCTCTGACAAAGGAATAAGGTAAACAAATAAAAAATGCAACAGTAGTAAAATGACTCACTTTCTCGAGACACACCTGACCAATGGCTTTGGGATCGACTTGCACTTCGAGGATGACGGAGTTTGCTTGACTAACGAGACACCACATCTTGTTAAGTTGTATCCAAAGAGGTTCGTACACCCGCACCGTTTCGCTTGGTAAAACTTGTAACACGGTTTCGATGAAACAAACCAACAAACCAAAACGCACGTTCACACAAGTTTCGGCACGTGTGACAACGGCGA